CCAGCGATCCTTCCGCCTCAGCCTTCCAAGTAGCTGGAACTACAGGCGCGCGTTACCACATCCGGCTAATTTTTTTTTTATTCACTGTAGAGATAAGGTCTCACCAAGTTGCCCAGGCGGGTCTCGAACCCACGGCCTCAGACAATCCACTCACCTCAACCTCCCAAGGCGCGGGATTACATGCTGAGCCACCAAGCCTGGCTGAACTCAAATTTTCAAAACACTTACTACAAAAAATGAGTTTTAATTCAGACTTTAAAAATATTGCCTACAACAATTTCTTCTAAACCTCTTCCAAAATTTCCAACAGTAAACATATTAATAAACAAAATATTTACATCAAGTAGTAACTGGGAAGACACTAAAATATAGACCAAGTTATCAAAAGTGTCTACCTTGGTCGGGCATGATGACTCACACCTATGATCCCAGCACTTTGGGAGGCCAAGGTGAGAGGACTGCCTGAGCCCACGGGTTCGAGACCAGCCTGGGCAACATGGCAAGACCATATCTCTACAATAAATCAAGAAAAATTAGCTGGACATGGTGGCACATGCCTGTGGTTCCATTTACCTGGAATCACCTGAGCCTAGTAGGTCGAGGCTGCAGGGGCCGTGAGCATGCCACTGCCCTCTAGCCTGGGCAACAGAGTGACACTCTGACTCAAAAAAAAAAAAAAAAAAAGTGTCTACCTCATATATAACAAAACAAAAGAAAACCTTGAAAAATTACTTACCTAAACTATTAGGAATATAGCCCTTTTGCTCTCTTTCCTCTGTAACTGCTTACTTCTGGGCCCCTCATCTCTCTGGTCTTTAGCCTTTTCACTGTCTACTCTCTCTTCTTTGCTGAACCATGTGATCTATTATCCTGATGACCCTCCAATTTGTATCTCCTGAACTTGATCTTAAATATACAACTATCTATTTGACATTTCTGCTTGAATGTCTAATGAGAACCTCCAAACTTAACATGTTCAAAATTGAACTCCTGCTCATTCCTCCCAAACCCTGTACAACTTTTCTCTGTTTTCTCCCTGACCTCAACTGATGGTAACTCCAACCTCTAGTTACTCAAGCCAAAAACTTTGGAGTCATCTCAGGCTCCCTACTCTCAATTACCAAAAACTAATACATCAGAAAATGCTCTGACTCTACTTTCAAAACAGATCCACAATCCGAACATTTCGTATCACTTCTACTACTACTACCACAGTCCTACCCATCACTGTCTTTTTGCCTAAATAACTGAAAAAGTCTCCAAACTGTTATATCTTCCTTTAACTCCCCCAAGAGGTACTCACAACATAGCAAAGAAACTTCAATCTGAGCATGTCCCTTCTCTGTAATAGCCCCCTTATTCAGTCAGAGTAAAAGCCTAGTTCCCTATTAAAGCCCACAAGGCCCTGAAGTTACTCATCCAGCCTCATCTTCTGTTACTCTCCAGTCAACCACACCAGCTTCCTTGCCAATCCTCTTACACGGCAGGCTTGTTCCTACCTTAAAACCTTTACAGTGACTACTCATGTTACCTGGAATCCCCTTCTCCCATACATCCTGGCTAACTCCCTTACCCTGTCTGTTTAAACATCACCTGCTCACAACCTACGTATACAAACGCAACTTACCACTACTCCTAACCTGCTCTATTTTCCTTTACTATCTACAGTTGACCCTTGATCAATAGAGTTTGAAAAGTACAGGTCCATTTATACACAGATTTTTATCACTCTCTCTTGCTTTTCCTTCTACCTTCTTCACACCTTTTTCCACCCCCGCCACCTAAGTCAGCGAAAAACCCATTTCTCCTCTTCTCCTTACTCAACGTGAAGAGGAGGATGAAGACCTGCATAAGATCCAGTCCCCCTTAATGAATAGTAAACACGTTCTTTTCCTTGTGATTTTAATAAGATTTTCTTTAGCTTACTTTATCATAAGAATATAGTATATAATACATATACAAAATACCCATTCACTGCTTATTGGAAAGGATTCTGGTCAACAGTAGGCTATTAGTATTAATAGTTAAGTATCTGGGGGAGGTAGTTAGGTTTGCACAAGGTGCCTCTAACCCTTGCATTGTTCAAGAGTCAACTGTATTACCCTCCCTTTTTGAGTTGGAGTCTTGCTCTATCGCCCAGGCTGGAGTGCAGTGGCATGCTCACGGCCCCTGTAGCCTCAACCTTTCACCTCAGTCTTCTAAGTAGCTGGAACTACAGGCACGCCACCACACCCAGCTAATTTTCTGATGTACTGTAGAGATGAGGTCTTGCCAAGTTGCCCAAGCTGGTCCCGAACCCTTGGGTTTAGACAATCCTCTTGCCTCCACCTCCCAAAGTGCTGGAATTACAGGTGTGAACCACCGCACCCAGCCTGTATTACCTTCTACCAAACTAATTAGCTCACTTAGTTAAAACTTAATTAACTCACTAAATTAAAAACTTAATATTGAGTTCTGTTTTTCCTGTTAGAATATAAGTTCCATAGCAGTAGGATTTTGTCTATCGATATATCCGATTTTCCTACTTAGAATAATGAATAGCATATAGTAGGTGCTCAATAATTTGGGTCTCAGAGAAAACAACAATTATTTTTATTTCCTTTATCCATAGCAATAATAAGAAAAAAGAATACTTACCTCTACAATCTTCTCTCTGTTTTTGGTTGGGTTCATAGGCGGCTCTGTGAGTAAAATTTTACAATTTCTAGTGTCTATGTTAAGTTTCTCCGGTCCAAATGTATAGTCCCACAGGTGTTTCATGTCATCCCAATTTCGTACTATGCCATTTTCCATTGGGTAGTTAACTTCTAACATTGAGCGTAATTCACTTGCCTCATCACCAACCATAAGATCCTAGAAAATTATAACAACAAAGTTTTAGCTCAGTCAAGTTTTTGCATAAAATTATATTCCCATGATATTTCCGAAAACTTGGGAATAATTAATTTTAATCTTTCTGACACTTGTGCAATAAAGGTTTTTATTCCACAAGTTAAAAATCTTTGTATCAAGAACAATGTCTTGCAAAGCTTAACCATGGATAATAAATTTGTATGTACAATGTGGTTTAAATCAATAAATTGACCTTACCTTTAACATACATGTTTCCAAAAGAAGAGCATAAGCACAAATAAACCCCACATTTTCATATTTGGGGTTTTGTATGAGGTTTCATCTGTTTCTTTTGCTCAAATGTTCAAAAAATAAGGCCTGTGATATGTGAAATAGCACATCAGGAAAAAAAACTTGTAGAAAAACGCTCAATGCATGCAGCACATTTCTTTGTACTAAATAACAAAATGATAAATGTAAGTACCATAAAGCATAATAAATAAAAGCAAAAAATAAAATGACTTTTGATTTCTATATAATGCATATATGCACCAACTAACTTAAATTTCACAAATTTCTATCTACATGGTCTGAATTAGAACTTAAACTAAGTTTCTACATATGCCTCTTCAAGATGAACAAGAATTTGTAGAGATACAAAAAATTAAGACACAGAAAAACAACTCATACTTTAAAATGTCTTAGGTTTTCAATCTTAAAGTGTAACATTAGAAAACTATACTACCATACATGAAGCATAATACTCACAAGTCTTGTCTCCAGTGAGAGCACACTTAAGATGACTCACATTTGAAAAGTCACACTTTGCATATATAATAAGGCTAATGATGTCCCAGCATTTAAAATTATTTTAGAAAACATCTAGTCAAGATATTAAATAATATTAATTTCTACATGTGCTGAGGAATTCAATTAAGAGGAAAAACTAGTATCAGAAATACTATTTATTATACCATCCTAAGTTTAAATACAGGGAAATGAAGAAAAGCAGCAGCAAAATTAACATGAGATGTCTTAAAAATGAAGCTTTGAAAAAATATGAGTTTTAAAAAAAAAAAAAAAAAAAAAAAAAAAATCAGAGGTAAAACCAGGGTGAGGACTCTATTAAAAAAACAAACAGATTTCTGGAAAATCCACTGAAACATCAAAAAAGAAAAACAAAGTTAAAGCAGATGCTAGAAATACTCAGTAAAATCTTCTGTTGCAATTAATGTCTTATAAAGTTAATTTACCATAACTTATTACTGAAATTTCTTAACTATTAACTGGTTAGACTCTTCTATGAGGAATATGCAAAACGAAAAATCTGTATTTGTGAGCTCTAGTTAATGCCATGCATATGTTAACATACTCGGGGAGAAGTATACTGATAACTGTAACACTTTGAAATACATCAAAAAACAAGATGGACTAATGAACAGATGGACAGATATGTGATAAATCAGTATAATATACATTAATGTCAGAATCCAAGTGACAGGTATATAATTTCACCGAAAAATTCTTTCACATTGCTGTGTATTGTAAATACTGGTTAGTAAAACATTAGGGGGAAATCTATACCTAAAAGTAACATATACTACTTTGGGTCATTAATAAATTAAATTTTTGTTGTTCTTGTTTAGTTGGAGTCTCTGTGGCCCAGGTTGAAGTGCAGTGGCACAATCACAGCTCACTGCAGCCTTGACCTCCCGGACTCAGGGGATCATTCTGCCTCAACCTCCCAATAGCTGGGACTGCAGACACATACCATCATGTTTGGCTAATTTTTTTGTTTATTTGTAGAGATGAGGTCTTGCTATGTTGCCTAGGCTGGTCTCTTGGGCTCAAGCAATCCTCTCTCCCTCTGCCTCTTGAAGTGCTGGGATTACAGGCCTGAGCCACTGCCCCTGACCGATAAATCTAATTTAATACCTAATTTGTTATTAACTCTCTTCTGTATCTTTCTTTGTGTTGTACAAGATAACAATTAGATAATTAGATAACAGTCAATATTTAAACCAATTTAAAATCATTTAATCTGATTTCAACAGAAGTTTACTTTTTATTCTATGCAATAGGAGCTGCTTACATTTGGCCCAATGCCAACTCTAAATAAAAGCCTCATGTATCTACCTTTAGGACCACACATATCATAAAGGATTAACTGAAAGAAAGTTCTGGTATTGAGTATCCTTACCTTCCTGTGAACAAAGAGGACATTTAAAATGGATGAAAAGAAGTATTAGCTTGAGAAATGCAAACTTTCTTGCGTACTCAAGCTATCTAATTCAAGAATTTTCCATATCTAAAATTTTAATTTAAACAATCCTAGAATATATGATTTTCCCTAGCTTCAACTTTCAAAAACCAAAAATGCTAACATTATATAACTTGCCCTAATCCTTCAAATCCAAATTACAAGGGATTAGATCAGACAGTGGGTTTTTACCACCTGCCCTACTACTGCACCTCAAAACCAAACCATCATCTATGAAAAATCATAGTAACTGTCTGAGATGCTGTTCCAAAGGCATTTATTCTTCACAGGTAGGCAATATAGATTATATTTGCCAAGAATTATTCTGAACAATGTCACCTTAAATTAGAATATAGAGTAAGCACAAGTTTAAAACCACAATTAAATCCCCAGAAGAAAATTCCATTATAATTTTTTGTTACATTCAGCCTATACTGTTCCCTACAAATATACCCTTTTCTTAATCTCCTTAGGCTATTAAGACAATGCACGACCTTTTATTTAGGATAAGCACATAAATTTCCACTCTTAAATGTTTGTGTTTATTCAAAAGAAAATATCAAAAAAGATATTACTAGTTAAATATATCATTAGAAATACCTATTTCTTTTTTGTCAAAATTTCTTACAAAGATATTAAAAACAAGTTTGAAAATACCTACTCTAGAAGCACTTAGATATCATAAAAAAAAATAAGAGTCAAATATCTGAGATGAGCCTAGCAAGCTTCTTGTTGCAAAGAAAAATAAGTAAATGTGATTTATTTGGGGGAGGAAATTTATTGTCTGTGAAAAAGCTTTACAGGTGCTCTACTTCTTTCTTATTTATCCTTGGATAATGTTATCAAATCTACTCATTAGATTTGGATGACATGGAAACAAGTCATCTCTTTTATTTCTCCTAGTCTATCTTTGGCTCATTCACATATTACAATTTTATTCGGTTTATTAAGTACACATGATGCCATACTGGATGCAAATATAAATACTGGTTATAATAGGCAACGTTCAGTTTAACATCAGTTAAAAAAGCAGATTCATCCAAATGAAACAACTTCACCCAAATCTTCTGGGTCACAACATATCCTAATATAAAGCCATTGGTTTCTAATATTATGCACATTCCATTGTAATTATAACATTCATCTACAAGAAAAACAAGGAAAACAATTCAAAACTATGTTAGTAATTAGTTCTTGTTTGGTCCATTGTAATGCAATCAGGAAAGTACAGGATTTAATTAGTTGCTACCAAATTGAAGCAATGAAAAAGGCTAAAAATCAAAGTACTTAAAAGAAAAATATGGAATTACCCCCCTCCCCAACACTAAAAGGGACACAAAACAACAACTACTGTCCCACCAAGCAAAAGTGGAAAACAAACAGAGAGCATGTGTGTAACCTCACTTACCATCTTTTTGTTATTCTACTTCAACAGGTCAAGAAAGGTGAAGAGAGAGAAGGTAGAAGTAAGAGTCAGAAAAGGCCTAAATAAAATCCTCACTGAAATTTTTAAACATACAAGCAATAGAGACAAATTAGGTTGAGGTCAGATGCAGTACCACTATATTTTATGGAATTAATAGGGCCAAATTAACACGGACAGTTACTCCTGAAAGAAAATTAACTTTAATTTAAATTTCCATTTTTTATTCTACTACTACATTTTAGCTAACAAGACACAAAATGTTAAGTCAAACTACTAAGCACAAGAATTCCAAAAAAGTCAAGTTTCTTTAATTCATTACTAAATTTAAGAACTTTAATTAAGAAAAATAAATGATAACAGCAAAGTTCTAGCTGACTAGGTAGAGAGTTAAGATAGTTCAGGGTTGTTTTTCCAAGTTACAGTATTCAAGTTAAATTTGACACAAGTCTCTTTAATAATAACTGTTTTCTACCGGAAGAACAATTTAACTTGAAAGGCTTAAAAGATTGCAGAGTGAACAGAACTGAGTCAATAGAACACAGAATGACAAACCATACAAGCAAATGCTACTAGGGAATTCCTTGGTAAAATGTCTTATTAGAATATTGACAAGTTTGATTTCCATCACTTGGCCTTAAAAAGCAAGAAAGTAGGCATTGAAGAGATGTGCAATTATTTGTACCTATGTTGGAGAATAAAAATGGCTGGCTATATATGATGTATTTTCATACCTCAAAAATTTTATTGTCCACAAGTATATTAAAAAGCCATTCTTTAAAAATCTGACACTGAATAAAAAGTATTACCTCTGACTTCATGCAACAGTAGTTTATCCTTATCACTATTATTAGCTCAATTTCAAGTTGAAGTTCATTCAAGATAGAATTCAATCAGAACGAAAGTAGTTCACAAAAAGAGAATAAGGAATCCCATAAATTTCACAAAAAATCCTTAAAAAAAACTTATATTGAGTGTCCTATTTTGTTTTTTGTAACATAACAGAGGGCAGAATAATTCACTATTTTTGAGTCTTTGAAAAACTGACACAAAACTGAAATTTCAGTTTGTATTTTTAGTCACTGTATAACTCAGTTCTCCAGTTCCAACAGCAGAGACCTAAGGAGCAAGTCTCTGCCACCTGTTACCATCGTCCTAGAGATCTCAGAGGTACACCTGAACTCTTATTTCAAATGACTCATAACCTTACAGTTCACTGAAGTCTTGGCAAAGACTGTCCAAATGGGGCAACAATGCTAGCTTCTTCACAAACAATTCACTAAAACAGCCCCTAAATTCTACTGCATTCTGTATAACTTAATTCCTAGGCCACCTGAAGAATGTAAAGTCAACTGGTGACCACTGTCCTATGGCTGTTCTATTTCCTCTAAAATACTGTAACTCCCACTTGATTTCTGATTCCTTTAATATGGCAGAAAAATCTATCATTCTTAATGTAGAGCCTTTCACGTTAAGTGCAGCGAGTAGGTAATGAAAACTTTTACTCCTCTTTCCTTATGGTAAGATATATAATGCAAGGCCAAATAAAGACTTGCTTCCTTCTGCACATTACAGGAATTGCTGTATTAATGAAAAGAGGAACCAATAAGACTTACATGCTTGGTTTCCTAACTAGCTATATAAAAAAGTAGAGGGGTCAGGCCATGAAAGAAAAAGTCTAAGGTCCCAAAGAGACACTAACATATAATGACAAATATATGAAATTAAAGGACATAAATATACCAGACTGACTTCTTCTAAAAATTACATTATGTAATAGGACTCTAAGTCACTGATACAGTGTTTCACATAAATGTAAAAAACTGAATTATTTTACTTCAAAGAGTAATGGCATCAAGCCATACATAACAAAATCAGATGAAATGAATTTCAGCTTTTGTGCCTTGTTCAAATGTTGATACAAATTAAAAATATACAAAATTCTGCCCTCCCACTTTGCTTTTCATGGCATATTTTAAAATTACTTAAAAGAACTGGTAAACTAGTGTTAGAAGAACACCTCACATGTCTTAATTATCATTCATCAATAAATAAAATATTACCTTGATTTCAATGTTTCCCACTTTGGTGGTTGATCTGATAATAGGTCTTCCAACCAAAGCTGGAAAGATGTGCTCTGGAAAGTTAGAGCCTGCATATCCACACTTCACAAACTGGAAGGAAACAGTAAAGTAAAAGTAGGTTAGTATCAACGGATTTACTATATTTATTTAAAAACAGTATCTGAAGAATACCACTTTGCATACATATATTTTTAAAATTTTTGGTATTTTCAATCTGCCCCAAGTAGCCACCTAATCTATTGAATCATTTCCTTTCTAACTCTTTCAAAGCAACAACTACATCGAGAGTTCATGTTTTTTTTACTGCTTACTTAGTCCTCCCACTAGAGGAAAGCCCACAAGAGCAGGAAGCTAAGCCTAGCAGTTCCTGTTGAAGCCCACTACCTAAAAGAGACGTTGACACACAGCTGTCATTCAATGAATACGGGGAATGACAAATGGCTTTTTAAAAGTTTTTTTATTTTAAATGCCCATTAAAAAAAAAAAAATCAGCCGGGCTCAGTGGCTCAGCCTGTAATCCCGTGCTTTGGAAGGTTGAGGTGAGTGGATTGCCTGAGCCCGCGGGTTTGAGACCCGCCTGGACAACTTGGCGAGACCTCATCTCTACAATAAAAAACAATAAAAAAAATCAGCCGGGCATGGTAGCGCGTGGCTGTAATTCCGGCTACTCGGAAGGCTGGGTGGAAGGATCACTGGAACCCAGCGGGTCGAGGCTGCAGTGGCCAGGAGCAGCCACTGCACTCCAGTCTGGGCGACGGA